GAGAAAGAAGAACAAAGTAGGAGGTATCTCAATACCAGATATCAAGCTGTATTACAAAGCCACTGTTCTCAAAACTGCCTGGTACTGGCACAAGAACAGACATAGTTCAATGGAATAGAACAGAGAACCCAGAAATCGACCCGAACGAATATGGTCAATTAATGTTTGACAAAGGAAGCAAGACAGTCTCTTCAATAAATGGTGCTGGGAAAACTGGACAGATACATGCAAAAAAATGAAACTAGACCACCAACTTACACCATACACAAAAATAAAAATTGTACACCAATGGACAAGGACAGTGGGGGGTAAGGGCAGGGGGTGGGGTTGGAACTGGGTAAAGGGGAGCTATGGGGGAAAAAAGAGGAACAACTGTAATAATCTGAAAATAAAGATTTAAAAAAACAAAATTAAAAAAATAAATGAATTATTTCTGCTCTATCAATCACTGTTAGCAAGTTGTAGTCCATTCATTCCTTAGATATCTGCAAAGTCTAGTATAATAACTCTGCCTAAAGCCAGAGGGTTCCAACCTATAACACAATGAGGAGCAATGGTGGCAAACCTACATTTCTTAGAGATCAGAATAAGTCATCAGAAAAACTAGAATTTTGACAATGCCAAAGATTTGGTTTTACAAATTCTTAACTGACTGCAAGATTTAATAAACTATAAGAATGAACACCATTTCTGGAAATATCTAGATAAGAAACGGGTACAATGGCTACTTCTGGTCGGAGGAAATAGGTGAGTGGGGGATGGAGCCTGGAGGGAAACGTTTCACTAAAGGCCATTTTGCCTGTTTTTAATTTTAACCTTGGTGATTATTTCAGTTAGCCAAAAAATTAAATTAGAATTTTAACAATATAAACCTAAATGTAAAAAAAAAATAGGTGGGTACAATGCTATTTATATAAAATGATTAAAAAATTCTATTTGTTGTAGCAGAAGTACTGATGTAATCATGGAAACAATGGCATTGAGGACAGTTATTTTGGAGAAGTATGGGAAGGAATGGGTTGGAAGAGAAACATGTGGCAGTTTTATACATCTGCAAGGTTTTTAAAATTTCCTAAAATATAGCAAAAGGTTTCGATTTGAAAATGCTGGGCAACAAGTATAGTATTTTATCCTTTTTAGAAATGCTTGAAATATATAAAGTTTTAAAAAGTATTTAAGCACTTAGCAAAGTAGCTGGCACACAACAGCCATCTGACGATGTTACTTTCCAGCCTGTAACACTTCATGTTACCGTAATTTCTAAGACCTACTCGGCTAACTCCGCTTTGCAAGTACTGAGTGTTGCATGGATATTCATTTTGAAAGTTGAAAGGGAATACTGCTCCTGTTAGGAGAGAAAAAAAAACCTGTTTTAAATATCAATGTTTTCAATAAATGATATACTATCACCTAAAAACTTTAATTGTCCAGGATATTCTAAGCACTGTTTTAAAATGTTTTTTGATAGTTCATTTATTCAACACTATACAATATCAGCCACTGTGTTTGACAAGGTATATAAGTGTGAAAAGAGTTCAGAGGTAAAAGGGGCCACAGTCTATTTTAAAGCACAAGCTCATAAATGACAACAGTACAGAATAAGTCCTATGAGATGTTACGAGAAAATGCCAAGGGAGAGTGGGTGGGCTTTGAGACATCAAGGAAGTCTTCACAAAAGAAAATAATTTAATCTGGGTTTTAAAGAAAAATATTTCTTTGGGGATGTGAAATAGACAAGAAATGCAGAAGTCTGTTGAGAAAAGCCAAAATAATTTCTGATTTACTAAACTTTGCCTAATAGAACCCCACTCTTGTCTGGATCTTAAAAGGATATAATTCAATGAGGAATCAGGGCTCCCTGCCTCCCCACCCTCACCCCCCATTGGCCCCTGCAGTGGGCTTGGAGGGAAGGGTCAGTGACCCTGAATCTGCACAGGTGACAGGATCACAGAAAGGAGCTGCTGACCATGGCTGTGTTCTTCCCTGCAGTTGGGTATATTTTTTTAAAGGTTAATTCTCTCTCCAGCATGACTGCACTGCAGTGATCATAATCACAGCACAATTTACACTGAGCCATTTTGCCCAGAAGCGTTAACCATGAAGAATACACGAAGTTGCTCTCACATCACGTTTATTATTCCTACTTTTGCTGGTCTAGTAGACTATTAAGAATTCTTTCCTTTGGTAATACTTTTAAATTCTTCTGAGGAGATCATTAGTTTTCAGTATTTCTTTAATATTCACCATAAACAATTGCTTTATGTATAATTTAGCCTTTTAAATGCTAATCAGCCATTAACCAATTAATATTTAAAGATGTGTGCCCGACATGACTCACCAGTGGGAGAAGTCAGATGACGAACAGGTCTTGCTGGTTGAAGCGATTTGCCAATCAATTTTTTTGTTTCCATTATCACCAAGACCTTGAGGTTCCATACTTTATAAGGGAAACGCGCATTTTTATCTTTTGGACAAGATAACCCATCTGCTTCATCATCTATGCAAACAGCCGTGCCCTTCCTGTGAAGGCAGCTAGTGTGTGAGCACGGGGGCGAGGGGCACGAGAGCCGCGGGGAACCAGGCGGCCCCCCAACCTCCCCTGCGCCCTG